GTGCTACGAGAACAGCTTTCAAGTCACTTCGCTAGCCGCCACATTGAATGGAAATTTATCACTCCGTAAATCCTCCCTTCGCAAGTCTATTGGTCGTTCTTTGCTCCCTTTACAACAACTTCAGACCGTCGTTTCTGAAATAGAAGCCATCCTCAACTCCCGTCCTCTTACCTCCATTTCGGACACCATTTCATCACCAACGATTCTTCGTCCCATAGACTTCATTGCTCCCCAAGCTCAACTTCAGTCATCAGCTGCGAATAGTTCCCAGTTCGACTCTACTCAACAGCATCTCGCCGACTGGTACGACTCCATTATGGCAGTACTCGACCATTTCTGGGAGATCTGGTCTACAGACTATCTCAGTGCACTAGCCCAACGTCATTCCTTCCACATTCGTCAAGGAAAGTCCACTCCGCGTTCACCTTATATAGGGGAAGTCGTCCTAATAGGTGATAAACAGGTACCTCGGGGATATTGGACTCCTGCGGTAATTACGAAGGTCAACAGCGATCGCGGTCACGCAATTAGAGGTGTTACCGTTCGCCTACCCAACGGCAATCATGTGCAGAGGTCAATTAATTGCCTGTATCCTCTAGAGATCCAGGCGCCGCATACCCCGGAGCATACCTCGCGGCCACGACCTGACCGGATCCAACCGCCTAGAGCTGCTAAGACCTCACACTCCTATATAAAAGCCCGTCAGCCCTCGCATTAATCATTACGGCTTATTGGTTTCGTCCATGTACACTCTCGCATCGTCTTCTTCACTTCGACCTCAGTTCAATGGATTTCAAATCTACAGGCTACCTCGTCGATATCTCATTGGAGCTGTCTTCAACAGGATCGATATTTGCCCTTATTCACTGTCTTTCTCAGTGTCTCACATTCCAGTAAGCATCTCACCCAACGGATACGGTATCTTCCCTCAATCAGGCAAATCGATGCGGCGAACCGATTTCATCATATCAGCTCAATTGGCACCTCGTCCGCGCACCGTCCACTCACTCCTTCTTCTACTTAGCTCTTTCATATTAATCGCTTTACATTTCTCACCATAATTGATGTGTGCCTCATATTTACTTCCGTCAATTACTTAACCTTGCCGTTTCACATGTGTATGCGTCCAAATTTATCATGTTTCAGATCGAATTCGAGTCTATTCACTATTCTATTCTATGCTCCCTAGCGATCGAGGCTATATGAAGATATCTGCCAGTCCAGCAACTTCGGAAAGTTCAGCGTTAGCTTCGCTCCCTGTCAAACCAGTGAAATCGTGATTGAGGCTTCGTATTCAACTAGTAAGCCTGTTTCTACCATGGATAATTCTTCTTTGCTGGCTGCACTAAATGAGTTACACTGCTTTTTTCGCTACGAGCGCAATCATCGTCCACTTGCCTGCGCTCGTCTTTTCGATCCGAAAATCACCCCAAAACGTCCCTTGCGCGATCGAACTCCACTGGAAGCTCATCTCTGACCTGGCTAAAGGGAATTTCTCCGCTTATGAGGTTCGTCATGAAGTCTTCCACCATCTGAGCGTCTTTCATTGCAAATCGCA